TTGAGCGACCCACTTGTTCTTAAGTGCTGTCCAGTCAGTTCCAACTCATAGTGACCCTGTGTAGGGTTTCCGAGGAGCAACTGGTGAGTTTGAACCGCCAACCTTGTGATTCCAAACAGCCTTGTGGGTAGTGCTTTATCTCCTAGCACCACACTAGGACTCCGAGCTACCCATTAGTCAGCTTAATATTTGCTGCTGTTGTTGTTTGGTGCCACCAGATTGGTTCTGACTCATAACCACCCTATTTACAACAGAGCGAACCAGTGCCCAGTCCTCCGCCAGTCTCATAATCGTTACACTTGAACCTGTTGCTGCAGCTTATGGTGGTTCAGTGGTCAAATCTTCACCTTCCCCAAGGGACACCCAGGTTCAAGTCCTAGCCAGTGCCCCTCAAGTGCAGCCAGCACCTGTCGGTCAGCGGAGGCTTCCATGTTACCATGCTGAATGGGTTTCAGTGGAGCTCCCAGACTAAGAATAGGAAGGAAGGCCTGATGGTCTGCTTCCAAAAATTCGCCAGTGAAAAACCCTGTGATCTGCAGCCGACTGTGGGGATGGCACAGGGCTGTTGTGCAGGGGTCACTGCGAGTTGGTGCGACAGTTCCATGGCAGCAAACAATGACAAGGGCCAATCCAAGAGGACGTACGCTGGGGCGCTGTTTCCTTAGGCTCCTTCCCTCTGCACTCCAGATCCTTTTCACACAGAAGGTAGACCCCACGAGATGTGAACTCAACTAAGTCCTCTTCTCTCTCAGAGGAAGATGTGCACCTGTTACATCCTAAAAGGAGCCCCCTCCCCTGCTCCCAGCTATGACCGTGTATGAGCTTGCCCACCTCTATACTTAACCTCCTGGGAGAACCTGACCTGCGCTGTGCTGGGTGGAGAGTATGTGCATGTCTCACTAGTTCCCAGTGATGCTGAGGCTGCAGGTCTGAGGATCGCATTTGGAGAACTGCTGCTCTGTAGGGAGCGCTTGTCATTTGCAGCTGCTGTTGCTAAGTGTTGTCCGCTTTGCTGGTGCATTTGAACCACCGACTTTGTGGTTAGCAATCCAGTGTGTATCCTACAGTGCCACATTCGGGCTCCAGAGCTACCACAGATTCATGTATTTCTAAAGCAAATTTATTACTTATATATACTTTCTCCACTGACCCCCAGAGCCCTGATGTGGTTAAAGCACTTGGCTGCAAATCAAAGATAGGCAGTTTAAACCCATCAGCTCCTCTGCAGGAGAAAGAAGGGGCAGTGTGCTGTGAAAACCTCAGAAACCCTATAGGGCAGTTCTACTCTGTCTTAAAGGGTCGCCATGTGTCGGAGTTGGCTTGGTGGCCCTGGGTTCGGTTTGGTCTCTATTCCCAACTTCTTTCTTCTAACCCTCTCTTGTGCCAATAATAGCATCATTTTTTATCCAGTTAGCTAAAAAAAAAAACTTCAGAGTCACTTTTTTCCCTCCTTCCAATTATATTTATTTTGTTGTTGTTGTCGAGAATATACAAGAAAAACACAGACAGTGTCATCTCATTTTGACTCTTCTCTTGAATGACAGACTTCAGCGGGAAGAGGAGGAGGCCTTTGCCAGCAGCCAGAGCAGCCAGAGCAGCCAGGGGGCCCAGTCCCTCACCTTCTCCAAGTTTGAAGAAAAGAAAACCAACGAGAAGACCCGTAAGGTCACCACGGTGAAGAAGTTCTTCAGTGCTTCGTCCAGGGTGGGATCAAAGAAAGGTGACCGTTTCTTTTCTCTCATATGTCTGTGAGGTACAGTCCAGCTCTATGAGGGGAGTGGCTGGGGGCTCCCTTTTCTGTCAGCCTGCAGACAACAGCAGCTAAAGTCAGATGATGTCTGAAGTCAAAATGTCTTTGGTTGGAGAAGATTGTGTGCGAGACAAACTCATTTACTGTTTCATGCTGTTGTGAAGTGCTGTGAAGTCAGTTCCATTCATAGAGGCTCTCCATAGGGTTTCAGAGGAGCATTTAAACGGCTGATCTTGTGGTTAGCAGTCCACTGCTTGTCCTATAATGCCACACCAGGACTCCTTACTATCTTATATAGGAAGAGTAAAAAGAATTGAAATCTGTACTTTTGTTTATAAAATTCATTCCCACCCAAAAGGATGTCTTTTTTTCCCTCCACACAGGTTTATTCTCATCTATAATGTTCCCACTTTGCATAGCTCAAGGCATCCTGGCGTCATGGTGGCTAAAGCTCTTGGCCGCTAAGTGAAAGAGGTTAACAGCTTGAACCTACCATCCTCTCTGAAGGATAAAGAGAGAAAGCTGAGGCAGTCTGTTTCCGTAAAGATTGGTGGTGGTGGTGGTGGTGGTGGTGTGCCGTGGCATCGGTTCCGACCCATAGCGACCCTGTACAGGGTTTCTGAGGCTGTAAATCTTTACGGGAGCAGAAAGCCTCATCTTTCTCCCACGGAACAGCAGGTAGTTTCAAACTGCTGACCTTGAGGTTAGCAGCCCGACTTGTTACCCCTGCGCTATCAGAGCCCCTTTCTATAAAGACTATAGCATGGAAACCCTATGGAAAAGTTCTGCCCTGTCGTACAGGGTCACTGTGAGTGGGAAATCGACTTGCCGGCATATAATTTTTTATTTTTTTAACCCATTTTGTTGTTACTAAATGCCGTTGAGTTAGTTTTGACTCAGTATTTATGTTGTTGCTGAGAATATACATAACAAAATACACACCAGTTCAACAATTTCTGCGTGTACAATTTAGTGAAAACGGATTATGTTTTTTCAGCCCAGCAACCATTCTCACCCTCTTACTCTGAGCTGTTCTTCCTTCATTGACTGATTGCTCCCAAGGTTCCTGTCTAAACTTTGAGTTGCTTATCTTGATCCGATTGATCCCCTAGTGATAGTTTGTAAATAAGCATCCAGCTCCAGGCTGTCCTTTTAACTAGTTATGCTAACTAGGTTGTGTTTGTTGTTAAGTGCCATCAAGTTGGTTCTGACCCATGGTAACCTTGTATAGGGTTTCTGAGGAGTTGCTGGTGAGCTTGAACTGGTAACCTTGCAGTTCAAACGGCTTTGCAGTCTGACGCATTAACCCATAGTGCCACACCAGTATAGTTCAGTTTTAATAAGACTTCAGGGGGGATTTTTGGTGTAAGGTTTAAAGACGATCTCAAGGCAGTTGTTCCAGGGGTTCACCCAGTCTCTGTGGCTCCAAAAAGCCTAGAGTCCATGAGAATTTGAAATTCTGTTCATCACACTTCCCCTTTTGATCAGGATTTTTGTATGGAATCAAAACAATTTTGATGAAAGTATTCAGTAATGACACCATCCATTTCTGGTTTCCTGGCACTGAAAGGAGTTGTTCATGGAGGCCATTAGCCACACTTTCCATAGGCTCTCATAGCAGACTCGCCTCCTTCCTCTGTTGTTCTTAGTGAATAGAGATCATTTGTGCCTTGGATGGCTACTTGTAAGCTTTTAAGACCTCAGGCACTACACGATGAACTAGGAAAGAGAACTGAAGCATTAAGCATGCTATTAGGCCTTTGAACTGGGATATTCCAGGAAACCATGACCTGAAGCCAAATCCTGAGGTGTTTGGTTGTACAGACTCAGCCTCAGCAGCTGCTGTTTATTTGTTGTTGTATGTGTCTCTGCCACACAGTTTTGTTTTGCCAATTCAGCTTTACAGGTGTGCACCTTATGGATTACAGTAATTGGTTGTGCAGCCTACCCTTGATCATGGTGATTTCCCATTGCTGCTAACCCCTCTTTTCCCCACTGGGCTGCTTCTGGTGCTGGTGGGTGTTAAGTTCCAACCCATAACGAACCCAGTAAAGGGTTTCCGAGGAGCAGTGGCCACTAATAAACTTTGATTTCTGTGTATTTACTTTTTCTTGTCTTTTTGTGTAAGTGAAGTCATACAACGTGTGTCTTTTTGTGATTGATTTGTTTTGCACAGCCTATTTATTGTCCTCAAGCTTCATCCATTCTGTCGTATGTGTCAAGAGTTTATTTCTCATATTGGCTGAGTTCATTGTATGTGTTGACCACATTTTGCTTATCCATGTGTCTGTTGATGGACATTTAGGTTGTTTCCCCAGTTTGACTGTTTTAAATAGTGGCTACAATAGTACTGTGGCTCTGTGGGTTAATCTGCTGACTGCAAAGTTGATTCGATTTGCAAGGTTGGTGGTTTAGGATCACCAGCCGCTCCTCAGAAACTCTATATAGGGTCGCTATGGGTTGGAACCGACTTGATAGCACTTCACAACAACAATGAACATTGGTGTACAGGCCTCTTTTGAAGTCTCTGCTTTGGGGTGTAAACCTAGGAGTGGAATTGCTGGGTCCTTTAAAGGGTAGTCTAGTTTTAGTTTGTTTTCAGGAAGCCCCATCCTGTTTTCTACTGTGGCTGTACCTTTTGCATTCCCACTAACAGTGGATAAGAGTTCTAGTTTCCCCACGTCCTCTCCCATATTTGTAATGTTCTATGTATTTATCTTACCGGTCCTAGTACAAATGTAAAGACATCATTGTCATTTGATTTACACCTCTTGACTGGCTAATCAGTGATGTAGGCGATGTGGGTGGTTTGCAATTTAAACTGAAAGGTTGTCAGGTTAAATCCCCCAGCAACTTTTTCATGGGAAAAAGATGCGGAAGTCAGCTTTTATAAAGATTTGCAGCTGTGGAGACCCTCTAGGGCAGTTTGACTGTTCTATAGGATTGCTGTGGATTGACAATGGATTTATTTTGTTTGATGCCGCATGGTGCCAAGTGTCTTTTCATGTGTTTGGTGGACATTTGAATGTCCTCTTTGGTGAAGTGTGTATTATGTTCTTTGCCCTTTTAAGATTGGGTTTTTCACTTTTCTTTATTAAGTTATCAAAGTTTCATATATACTCATTATTAGATTGTTATCGTATGCATGGCTTCCAGAGATATTCTCCTAGTCAGTAGCTTGTCTTTTCACTTTTTTGGTAGTCTTTTAATGAACAAAAGCTTGTTATTTTTATGAGGTCTTATTTCCTTATTTTGTCTTTTGCTGTTTGAACTTTTGTTATTAGACAATCTGTTACTGAGAGCTAAGCCTGACAGCACTGCCCCCTGCTTATTCTTGTACAATTTTTGAGGTTTTAGTAATGGTTACGAGTTGGGTTGCTTACCTCAAGGTCAGCAGTTCAAAACTACCAGTTGTTCCACGGGGGAAAGGTGAAGCTTTCTGCTCCCATAAAGATGTACAGCCTTGGAAACCCTATGCAGGATCGCTATGAGTCGGAACCGACTCCACGGCACATAACTACCTCCATGGGTTGAGAGCTAAGCCTGACAGCGCTGCCCCTGCTTGTTCTTGTAAGAATTTTATGGGTTTAGTTTGTACATTGGACCCTAATCTGTTTTGAATTTGCTTTTGTGTATGGTATGAGCCATAGATCCAACTGCACTTTCTGCACACGGAAATCCCGTTTTCCAGTGCCTTTTACCGAAGAGCCCCTTCTTCCCCCTTCAATGGACTGAGCACCTTGTCAAAAATCAGTGGACCTAGATGTGTGGGTGAAAACACGAGTCTCTCCTGGCTTTATTCTTAGCTCCGCCATTTACTGTAAGATAAGCATTGGGCTGTTAACCACAAGGTTGGTGTTTCAAAACTACCAGCCACTCCATAAGATAAAGATGTGGCTGCCTGTTCCCATAAAGATCGACTGTCTCAGAAATCCTTTATAGGGTTGCTGCGAGTCAGAAGTGACTCAATGGCAGTGAGTTTTCTTTGGCTTTTGGTTTGGTTTTCTGCCATTTACTAGCCATGTGACCTTAGGCCAGCTAAACTAACTGTCTGTACGAAGGGGCAGCAGTGCCTCTCAAAGGCCTGTAGCCAGGGATAAATGGATTGACGCCTATAAAGACTGCAGCACAGAGTCTGCGACATGTTGTAAGTCTGTAAGTATTACCTATGACTGGTGAGTCACTTGTGACTCACTCATAGTGACGCTGTAGAACACAGGAAAACGACCTCAGAGGCTTCCAAGCCTGTAATCTTTAGGGAGCAGATTGCTACATCTTTGTTCTCCCATAGAGCAGCTGGTGGATTCAAACCACTGACCTCATGGTTAACAGCCAAGCACTTAGTCACTGTGCCACCAGGACTCCTTCCAATAAGTGTTATTGATGTTGTTGAGTTGATTCTAACTCATAGCAACCCTGTATAGCATTTTTGAGATGCTGCTGGTAGGTGTGAACCTTCACCTGCGGTGAGCAATCCAGTGCTGATCCTACAGCATCACGCCAGAGTCCAATAAGTGCTAGGTATTCTAAATGCAGGTTGTTTTTCTGATAGAATATTCACTACTGGTTGGAGCTCAAGGCTCTTGATCATTCGTTCCAATGTAGTTTAAATTCTGTTACCTGCCTTGGGAAAAGTTCCTTAACCTTTCTAGGAATTTGTGATCTCATATATAATGAAATGGTATGTATTTATGGCAACAGATAAAAACTATAAAGCCAACTGCTCTGTCTTCTTTTACAAATGACAGTTTGAAGGCCAAGAAAGGTGCCCTGATACATGATCTAACCAAGGTCACTTAATGAGTTGGTGTATTAGAGCTTAGGTCTCCTTGCTCCTTGTTCATTCCCCCCCTCAAATATGTCTGTAACTCAGAAAACCAGGGTGTGACTGTGTCTGTGTGTATATTTTGATGTGTGTGTATGTGAGTCATGTCCATTGATCTCCTAGAAGATACAGGTTATATTATGGA